GGGGTGGGAGCTGGGTTTGCAGGGCTGCTGGCACCAGGGGTTGGCTTGTGTGTAGCGAGAGAAAGCGGGGCTTTAGAGCAAGAAAGTAGCCCGGGTGGTGTGGTACACCAGACGCACCTGTGTGTAAGCAGATGGCAAAGCGATAAGTCCTGCGTGAGTGTGGAGACGGGCTGATAGTGGTGCCTCTTCTAGAAAAAATAAATACAGCATAAGCCAAAACACATCACTAACAACAAACAAACAAAATGCAACTCTTGGGCTCTCTGAGGTAAGTTGATTCTTACCTCAGTTGATTTTTGTTGAGCAAGTAAAAAGCCATGGAGAGGGAGGGGGCCCCCCCAAATAGTGTTACTAGAGGAGATCTGTGTGAGCCATGTATATTTTACAGTGATTTTCCTGGGTTCCCTTGATATCAAAGCTGTTCGTAAAAAAAGCTGCTGTAGTGTGAAAGTATGTGTGAGTGCATGCAGACACATGCGCCTGCTGTGGGGGTGAGCTGGTGAGTGCAACCCAAACATTGCCGGCAGCATATTGGATCTAAAGAGTATGTAAAAAAGCATTTAAATGAGTTTAAAAAATAGCCAAAAAAGATTATTTGGTCTCAACTATTTCAGTTCAAGCTCTCCATTGAGGAGAGCAGGTGAAGCTATGTCTCTCTGGAGCATCCCAGGGACACTGTCACCTCCTGAATACACCCACAGAGCTGGACCTTAGAAGGCTGTGATTAGAAGCCATTGAGTAGGGATGGTTTCTCTCCAGTAACGAACTGACTTTCTGTGGATTTTCTCCACATCTGATCTAGGGTGGGATGAGGGGTTGGCAGGCTGATGAAGGGCAGATTTCTGTCTAGCATACATAAGGGGGTGGGGAAAGAAGGATAAAAAGAGTGTATAGCACGAAGCGAAGAGAGGGGCTGGGGAGAACAACTGGGAGGCAGTATTAGTCTATGTAAAACTTCAAAGATTTTGGGGAGAGGAGTAGGCTTAATTTGGTCTGCTTAAGGGAAAGATGTCTGAAGGAGCAAGGGATATTTCAAAAGGTATGGGATATTGTGAATATTTAGATGACATGGCCACCCTGCTCATGAGAGATATCTCAGCTAAGTCACACAGGTCATAACAGATTTTTTTCATAGATATAAGGGCAGAGACCATGGGAGCCCAAGTCCCATCAACTAAGATGACATTCCTCAGTGCCTGAGTCATTTCTGCAGCAAGGACTTTAAGGCTGGATGCATTGGCCCCTTTCATTGCTGCACATTGAGGAATCAGAGCCAGGATCCTCAGCCCCTAGTCCTGACAACTCAGCAGATTTGAGAACACTTGTTCAAATGGGACGAAATGTCCCAAAGCAGGGTGCTGATTAGAAAAGCAGTTCTGCACTTTGTAGAAAATCAGTAAAGGAGATTATATAAGAAGAAGAACAGTACTAGAGGTTTCTAAAACTTTTGAAGTGAAGGAATAGGTGGTGTGTGGATCTAAAAATCTAAAATAGTAAAAAAAGAAAATGGATGAATGCAAACCTGTAGACTTTTCCTTTAATAATGCTGGTAAACAGCAGGTCAAATAGTGAAGAATGGTGTTGCTCTTCATCACATCAACCAGTAGACAAATATTGACACTTCTATTTGATGTGAAGGCAGTCATGGCATACAAACACCTGGCCTTTGGCTTTAGTGAGTGAGAGGGAGGAGAGAGATGTTCAAAGGTGGTTTTATATAGGCACCATCGCCTTTGTGAGCATTGATTTCACGAGGTAGCCGCTGACAATGATCCAAGTTCAGGGCTGCCTCAGGCTGTGTAGAAAGTGGTTTGAGAACGGTAATGTGCGTTTTTTCCTTCTCCTTTTTATAAGATTTATTGGCAGAGATGTGAAGCCAAGAATTTCATTTGTAAAATGTTTGGATTTGGTGGCAGGAAAAAATGATTAAATTTCTTTGGGCTATTCCAGGCGAAACAACACTCTGATCAAATGTGAACCGAAAAAAAAAAAAAAGATAAAAAAGAAGAAAAGAAAAAGCTACAAATGGATTGATTGATGGATTGATTGATTGATTTGCTTTGCTAACAGGTCTACGTAGTCTAATGCTAAAGGTTCCAGACACCTTTATTCTTGCCTGCAAAAATGCCATGGCTCTCCAGGGGAGGTGAGCTGAGGTTTATCTGTTGAATGCTTCTTAATAGAAGGTCACAGGCTTGCAACATGGATAATGATGCACAGACAACCTTAGGCAGCATAAGTTCAAAGTTGATGTGTCTTGTCCCTCTAACCTTCCCGCCATTCCCTGGTGCTTGAGAGCATCTGCTTACCAGAGATAGGCTTGATACACATCGCTTAAGAAGGGCTCCTAGACTAGGTTTGCATAAATTTTAGATGTCAGTTAAATTTACTCTGGTTATAGCAGCTGAAGATTCAGCTTTGCAAATGAGTATCTTGTGGCTCGAAGCTGGTAGACATAATCCCTGTGGGTATGACTGCATCGTATGTGGGGCTTTCCCAAAGCTGATCTTCTGTTTGGCAGTCCCCCCTCACAAATGCACTTGCAGAATGAAATCATTGCCAAGGCAACTTCCTGAAGGTAGCACTGAATGTGCTTCACATGGATCAGAGGTTCAGACCCAAGTCTGGTTCTGCTGAAGCAAAGATGTCTCCTAAATACACGAACTTACACAGAGTTTTTTGCTGAGAGGGGCAGGCTTTTATGCATTTTCTTCATAACTTCTCTTGTCAGTGTCTGAATTTACTTTGATAGCCATCAGCTGCCAGTGTGCAACAGTGTCTCTGCCAGCATTCAGCAAGTCAAAGCTGGGAACAGGATTTGGCTTCCTCACCCTACTTGCAGTTGTGCTACTGCCTGTTTGAGTCCCCTTGGTCAGGTCCTGTCCGCATTACACACTGCAGCAGTCCTGCCTGCACGGCGAGTGGGGTTTCTCCAGGGAAAGGCATTAGCTAAAAATGATAGCTGTGGGTTTTAGCAAAACTGTAAGATTTACAGGATTATGCTGACTGTTTGTCCTTTGAAAAACAGTTGTGCATGTTTACCTTCTCCTGCCTTCCTCAGATGCTAGGAAAAGGCACTGGTCAAAAATTTCAGAAGTCGTCCGTACTCACACAGGACATCTGACTGCTTTCTTCAGAAGCTCTGGGCTCCCACGTTGGTGTGTGGAGTTCCTTTAGTATCTTGCCAGTGCTCAGCTTACTGAGAACTGCTCTTTTTGGATGGCCTCAGTCTCCCAGCGGGGTCTTGAGCATTCCTGTCTGGACAGCCCTGGCTCTCACACACGAATGGAAATGAAGCTGTTTTAAACAAAAAGAAATAATATCATGTATGTGAACACTGGCAGCTGTGGCCTGGCAAAAGCTGAA